GTATCAAAACCGAGATCAGCGTGCTGTCGTATGATCCACTGAAGAAGGGTATTACAAATAGTGTCCATGCAAATTATACGAGACCCGTATATTGCGCATGCATTCATAAATGAGAAAAATTTTCTTTGGACAAAGGAATATTATTAGTTTCATTTAAGTTCGAAAAGCAAACTAACTTTCATATGACACTATGTGGCTTTCTATGTTGTTCTGTCGTTTGGGTGTTATATATTTGTACAATTATGCCAGGATTAAGTATTTACGTTACAGAACAGCTACGTCTACAGAACGAACTGTCAACCGAAAATCAACCCTGTCCGCCCTGGAAAAGGACCGTGAGTCAGCATCCTAAATGCTTATACTGCTTAATTGCGCGACTGACCTGTTTGCTTGTTTGTGCTATAAATGAATAAACCGTAGTTTTATACATTTGTAAGTTTCTTATATATACAGACACATACTGTGCTAGAAATTTCTTGAATTTTCAAATTTGGACTCATAATTCGTCGGTAGAGCTATTTTCTTGATGCATGATTGAGAAGCCTAAGAATAAACGGAATATGCAAACGTTTTACTTAAAAGTCGTTGCGTTAGCACCGGTAGTATCATCAGGTAATCAGTAAATGAACATCAAGTAAAAGTTGTGGGGCATTAACTAATTAATAACTTAATCCTGCGGGACAGTTGTTTGTAACTCAGTTAAGAAATTCGGATGTAACTCGCAGAATGCTGAAAATAGAGGAAATGGAAAGTTGTAATCGTTGGAAGGATTGTGTTTCTTAAACTTTCATGACAAGGTCACTTCTGATGCCCTTCTTTTCACGAATGGGTTAATAGCGAGGCCCTGATCTCTAATTCCATGCCATCAGCCAGGTGTGCCTCTTTTTTAAGTTCTGAGTTGAAAGCATCTGTGTGACAAGCATATTGTGTTGAGTCTACTTTCTTCCCCACTCATTTATCAGCCTCAAAAGGATCGAAATTGAGTGACGTCTGACTGGGGCTTGAACTCGAGTCTTCTCAGTTCTGGGTCCGACAATACCCATTACGAGCAACTCTCGATTATTTAAGGAATGGGAATACACCAGTAGGCTAATCTTTCTTGTGACCCCCGCCTGGTTTTTCCTTCCTTTAATCATTGTGCAATGGCATGTTGCCGATTGCTACATGTGAGTGTGCCCCGTGGAAGTGGGAACCCTAACTCAAAAAGTGAAAAATACTAAGTGCGCATCTTTTGCTTTCTTGGCAATATATGAAGGGAGTTTTGTGTCATCCCTCTCGAGCACCGAAACGCTGGAATTCCCATGCGTCTTATAATCTGTTGTTTATGTAGTATCCCATCCTGTATAGTGAAGCTAATTCAGCTTTTTCTAGCGGGTTATGCTAGATACTTAAATCCGCATCTAAAAAATTGTTGGTATTTCATCCAACAACTGCATAGTTTATGCATCGAAGAAAATACCGTCTTAATAAGTTATGATGTTCCAGGCCTGTTTACCAACATATTTAAAGTTATCTTTGATGTAGTAAGGGATAAAGTAGGAAGCGACCCAGAGCTAAAGCAGACGAGTGCTCTTTTAGCAAAGTCCATGCAGGATGTTATTAGGATCTGCCGGGTGGATTACAACTATTTCAGGTTTAGAAAACCGAATGGTTTTATAAAATTGTAAGTCATAAGAGTAGATATAGCAAACGAGGTCATTTTAATGCTTACGATGATAGTGAGCAACCCTTCAACGCTTTGAGGGCGCAAGGCAGCTGGTTTCAGAGACGTCGTTAGTGTCTCCAATATCTTCTTTTCTGAGCAACGGTTCAGACGTGATTAGTGTAACATTGGAACGACGGCGCTTGTTGGATGTCTTCATGGTTTCATTAGATCGCTGTTAGACTGCGTTGAAAGTTTCTTGATCTGTGGCGATTTTGGTGAAACACATTCAATTTATTCCAATATTCCCACATTCCGATTTTATCCAATATTCCAATTTTTATTTTGTTCATTTGATTATTTAAACGAAAAAGTGACAGGATGGATTTTTTTAATGAGATTGGGATGTAATCGAGATTATTAGATCTGTCTAGCTGAAATAATAATACTAATGGGGATTTTGATAGTGACGAATGGTGTGGATAGTAGTCTCAGACGTTTCTGAAATCTTAGAGATCATCCATTTGATGATTTGCATCGAAAAACACTGATGACGATTATCTAATAGTTTATAGTATTTAAAACTTGCTTTGTATTATTACATTTCATATGTTCTGTGTATCAAGCGGTTGTCAAATAAGCGGTGCTCACTTTGGGTAATTTAGCATTCGATGATCCCTCGAAATCTTCGAAGTCAAGAAGCGCCTTCGCTCCTTCTGGTGACCAGTCCTCCGAACATGAGACAATGGATTCGTTTATGAGCAAACAGGTTTTGTTGGGCTGTGCTCGTTGTGGCAGAGTGAACCATATAATTTTGCACTGCGACGTTTCAGACTGATGGCCAAGAAGCGACAAAGGGATCGTTTTGGAATCTGAGTTTCTACCAGCGGTTTTTCGACGTTGATACGCAGGACGTTTGCACACGGATTCTGTACAGCTTCGTGCCGCAGCTCAACTCGAATTTCATTACATTTCATCTTCGGCCAACACCGGATTTGTATGGTATGGTTTAAAATATTTTTGGCGCTGCTGGAAAGGGGTTAAAGGGGGCAAAATAAAATAGTAAAATTGAAAATGCAAGGAGGCAGTTTAGTCAGAATCGACGTTGTTTAGTCCGACAGTGTTTCTTATTCACTGACTCACAAACGTTAGGTTCTGCCATTCGAGCTGCAATCAGCTCATTCTCATTTCGTCCTTTGAGGTAGTTAAATCAACAGCATATCATGGGAAAGAAAACAGAAGTTTGCAAGCTATACTAGTCAGGTAGCTGCAGATATAACCTTAAAACGTAAAACAACGTCACACTCTTGATTGATGGCACAGCAACCGGAATTAACCTCATAGCGTAGGCTCCGTGTTATAAGAGTGCACCGAGTCATGGAAATTTAGGAAGAGTAACAGCAGATGCATTCTTGGTGAAGTACATGTACAGTCGGGAAACGCCTGCTATTCTGAAGCATAATCAAGCTTTTTGGACAGCTTCCAACAACTATGTATGCAAAGTATTTTTAAAGTGCGATGGTACCTTTTGATCACGAACGATCAGGTGCTGGCTACCACCGGTCTGAGAAAATTGAGATAAACTTAAAGGCCGGCGCTTTGTCTAGTTTCATAAAGCAACTTGAAAAGTGAATGGATGTATATATTTAAAACTTTTCACGATTGGGAATCGGGCACTGGCCGCAGACGTATTGGCCGGCAATATAAAATTCCTTGAGATAGAAACTGAACGGAAACACGTCATTGGGGCAGACCTATTTGAGAAGAAGAACAACAACAATAACCTTTGCCGCAACTCTGAACGTTGCCTACTATCAATCTGAAGTACCATTTCTAACGATGAGACATAAATCTGGGTTACTCCGCTGTTTCACCTCTGTCAGGTTCAGATGACGATGACCGAAAAGCAGCAAGGGTGATGTCAAAACGGTGATTAACTTTTTCTCCGGTAGGGGGAAAATGTTTTTCTTTCCAGCGCTTTTGACTATCTATTCAGTGTTTGTTCGAATAAAGCAATATATTGAATTGAGCATCCTCAAAATTTATCTTGCCTTATCTTTGACAGATGTGTACCACTATTCGGCAGAGACACTGTCATATTCATGATAGATCGAAAATGACTGTCGAAATGTATACAGCATTGTAGCCTCTGAAAAAAAATGATTTTTTCAGGGGAGGGGAGGGTGCAGAGAACTATACTGAATGGCTTTATTCTTTTCAGGCATATATATCTTTATCCTCCGTAGATGTAAAGATTAGCTAATGTAAGTTGGACTTTTTACATGAATTTTTTGAATCTGAATCCTGCATTTCAACTTGTGCGATTTTAAGTGTATGTATGTATGTATGTGTGTGTATGTAGGGCAAGGCAGAAATCATGGACCAAATGACAAGCGTGCAACGTGAATGAACAAGCTGGAGAATGATATGCGTTCAGAACGGAATTGTTCATTTTACATTATTCTAAACAATATTTTATAACTAAATTGTTGATCAGCGGATATGACCAACGGGCAATGCTCCTTTAACGAAAGCAACTAGCGTTTAAGACCTCAGCAGTCAGTAGCGTTTGTATTTTGCAAACTTTTAAAACAGGTCTTGTAATGTCTGGAATGCGCTTTCTTGTTCTTCAGAGTTGGAGGGGGGTTGACACTGGGACGATCGAATAAACGACTGAAATGCTCATTGTCAAGAATAGGCCACCGTGTTATTCTTTAGAATAGCTAAATTCCGAAAAACTTTGAAGAGATTCGATTGCAGAAGGTATGCATCGCGTGCGTTCTGGCAAATGTTAATGGCTACGTAATACCTTCTGGCTCAGCACTGGTCATCATTATCAGTGAAGTATGGAAGCCGGCCGGCTATAGCTTGCCTTCCAGGCAGAAAGTCACAGAAAAACGGGCCTTTGATAGCGATTGCGACAGAATTTGCGCAAGATGAAAGGCTTTACTAAATGTGCAAGGGCACGCAGTTTTGATTGCGCTCAGCGAGCTCTACTTCTCCTATATTAATGTCATTCATTATAACACCTAATTCCTCCAAGATCAGAGTTCACTGCATATTGCATCACCCCTTTGATGCTAGTTGCCTAGAAGTTCATTTATGCAGGCCATGATAATTTAGCACCTGCACTATCAAATTCATCTCACATCACACTGAACCACATGATGCTGATTATGAACGATGTTTCAAAGGGTGGTACTCCTTGTCTGCTAACGCATAAACATCAAAATATGTTCGCATGGCGGAGAGTGAGACATCTAGCCCCTCAAGTGTTCGAATACCATGGAGCCAGTGCCTGCTTAAATGGTGTCCTTGGCAACTAGGAATAAGATTACGGTGCAAAACGCAATATGATCTACTCTTGTAAGAATTATGCGCTGTTTGAAATAATCAGGCGAACGTACATGCGTTGACTTTTATACATTATTCATTATCAGTTATTGTAATATCCGACTTATAGTCAAGAGGTAATATGGTCAAGTTTCAATCGCATTCCTTGCCTTTCTTCATTGCCAATACGGGGTACCGAAAAAAGCGACTGCACGATGTAACAACCAATTGGTTGTAGATGCAACGTGAAGTAAACATGAAGCACCTCCTATTTGTGGCATCAAAACAGATGCAGTTACCGTACAACAAGCTGCATGAAAGAGCGGTACCACAAGCCCCCTGTCATTGAATGATATGTGAGATCGACATCTCAACGGTTGTATTGACTCCCTTACTTTGTGCTCAGCATTATAGTCTGCTATGAGATCAATGGTTTTGCATGTTTTGCTTTTTCTTTTTTCGCTCGTACGACCACTGGGCGAATCGTGACCATTCGCTGTTTTTAATACATTATGAAGCCTTACATGACTCAGTCGGTTGAACGTCGAATTAGTAATTGAAGCATTTCAGTTTCTAGTTCTGGCCGGGTTCATTTACGTGTCGTTCTTCTGACCTGAGGTTAATTAAGCGGCTGTACTGTGTGTGGGAAGAAAGCCAAAGCCTGAAAAGTCTGCATTCCACCTATATTTCTGTTTATTTGTCCCAACAGAGTAGAAAATCATTAGTTAAATTATTAATAACGCTTACGTGCTTATTGATTTTTACTCTATTTAGTGAATTTTTTATTTTTGTTATTTTAGGCCCTTTTTGGATTTTTATAACGCTCCTGCTGTCGATAAATATGGTCAGCAATTTCGACGGTCTAATAGCAGCAGCGACAAGATCCGAGAATTATCGCTGGATGATTGGATTCAAAACAAGTAATAATATTTTAACATACATATGGCTAGAGAGACATCTACAAAATATGGTATCCAGCATCTGATTCACAAGATGCGGTTATAACAAATTTCAATAAATTTTATCTAAATCTATGCCTAAGAAAATATGATGGAAACTGTAAATGATTGTAGGTGAAGCATTACTTTAAATCAAGATTTTCCCTGTACTAAAGTCCATGTTCCCAACTTTGAGCTAAGCAATAAGTATAATGTGAAATATGCAATATAATTTTGGGATTATATATTTAAGTTGCCCAGGAATGAGGACGGTATCGCAGTCGATTTGTAATTTGCTGTGCACCTTTAAGCTGCCGACTTCAAAGCTTGCGCCTCAACCCTGGAGTTAATTTTCTCTTGTTAACTGCTAATTGTGGAGAAGTTCAAGTACCTCGGAACTATATTTACTAGTGATGGAAAGTTGAAGGAAGAGATCGACCGGC